GACTCACAAACTCACAGAGTCGCAGACAGACTCACAAACTCACAGAGTCACACACAGACTCACAGAGAGACTCGCAGACTCACAGACAGACTCGCAGACTCACAAACAAACTCGCAGACTCACAAACTCACGGAGTCACACACAGACTCACAGATAGACTCGCAGACTCACAAACAAACTCGCAGACTCACAAACTCACGGAGTCACACACAGACTCACAGATAGACTCGCAGACTCACAAACAAACTCGCAGACTCACAAACTCACGGAGTCACACACAGACTCACAGATAGACTCGCAGACTCACAAACAAACTCGCAGACTCACAAACTCACGGAGTCACACACAGACTCACAGATAGACTCGCAGACTCACAAACAAACTCGCAGACTCACAAACTCACGGAGTCACACACAGACTCACAGATAGACTCGCAGACTCACAAACAAACTCGCAGACTCACAAACTCACGGAGTCACACACAGACTCACAGATAGACTCGCAGACTCACAAACAAACTCGCAGACTCACAAACTCACGGAGTCACACACAGACTCACAGATAGACTCGCAGACTCACAAACAAACTCGCAGACTCACAAACTCACGGAGTCACACACAGACTCACAGATAGACTCGCAGACTCACAAACAAACTCGCAGACTCACAAACTCACGGAGTCACACACAGACTCACAGATAGACTCGCAGACTCACAAACAAACTCGCAGACTCACAAACTCACGGAGTCACACACAGACTCACAGATAGACTCGCAGACTCACAAACTCGCAGACAGACTCACAGAGTCACAGATAGTTTTACCTGTGTTTGTCCCATGGCCGATGATGAGCTCTCGTCCATAAACCCGTCTGGTTTCTCCCACTGAGACTCTGAGATCAAACACACAGTGAGTGATGAAGAACACAGATGGACACGCGTGTGCTCCTCAATCATCAGCTCACCTCCAGTGACGGTGTTGTAGAAATACTCCAGGCTGTTGTTTGTGGTTCCTCTCAGCCAGACGTCTGTCTGGTCGCCGCCGCTGCTCTCTGATGGGACGCTCGCTTTGAGTTTCTTGGGTTTTTTCTGCGTTTTAGCAGGAGCTTCAGACGGAGCCACACTCTCACCTGTAGAGACAGAAGAACCATGAGGAGCAGCGTTATCTCACACACACACACACACACACACACACACTCACACACACACCTGACGACTGACCCGCCAGCCTCTTCAGATCCTCCTCATACGCCTTCAGAGCCGCTTCCTCCATCGCTGCAAACTCCTTTGACATCTTCTGCTCCTGCTTGGCCTTCGCCACACTTGTCTTCTTAATCTATTATGAACATTGACGGGGTCACATGAGCTCTGCCGGCCAATCAGAGAGCATCTCTCACACACACACTCTTATCTTCACACACACGCAGCTCGGACAGCAGCAGCGGCCAACATGCTGTTTACTTCAGATCACACCCACTGCATCTGACAACACACACACACACACACCGTATCCCATAATGCAAAGAGCTTCTGGAGCTTCCATCTGCAGTGAATGAATGAGCAGGAGCTCAAATCAGTTTGAAGAACATTCAATTGAAATAAAAAATGCAAAATTGTATTTCTGAGATGATGACTCATGAAACACATGACTCTGTTCACTGTTCGGATACGGTGCAATACACACTGAATAATATGAAATGCATTTTGCTGCTTTATTGTCACATGAACTCATCATATTGTGTGCGAGTAGAATCCAGCTATTATCATACAAAAATAGTTATTTTTTTCCCTTTTAAATTAAATTTTGTGGAAAAACAATGCTGTCAGGCTGATTAAAGAGGCTGCGATTTTAATTTTCTTACTTTTGCAATTGTGACGTGGGTCTATCAGAGCAAAGCAGCTTCTTCATTCATTACAAGAGCAGATGTGTTTTTACAAAATAATGATGTGCACAGACAAATAATTTATACTATTCACAGATTCCCTTCTTTTTGGCGATAAAGATATGAAAATTAAAAATATAATAACACTGCAATATTCCATAAAAAATAAGAATAGTCTATTCTGATATCATGGTGACTTAATTAAAAAAGGTGATTCTTCTTCTTCATTCATTGACACTGGAAGTGGAAGGTCCAGTCCACTGCATTCTGGGATAGCACATTTAGCCAAATCTAGAAGGCCATCAGTGTATTTCATGCATAAATGTGCATAGTGAGTACAGTAATACACAACAGAACCAGAGAGAATAGACACATGGCATCCGCTAGACTGCAGTATGCAGCATGCAGTGTGCACTACACTAGTGTTGTATTCTGATCACAGCAGTTCTTCTTGCTTTACCTCTGCGATTTTGGCCGCAACATTTTCTTTGTGATTCTTTCCTCTCTCGTGGAACTCGACACTCTGCGAAAACACATCCTGATTATGAACATACATTCAGATCGAGTATTTATGAAATATATAGCTCTGGATTCACTCACGGGTTTATTATCCGCGATCCAGCATTTGCAGTACTGACAGAACTTCTTCGGCTGAGACTTCCAGTATTCAGTCCTTGATCACAAACACACAAAGATTATTTTATTATAATTACAGTGCGATAACGTAGAGCCCGACCGCGCGAGTTCTTTAAATGTCTTTTCTTTTTTTTTAAATGCTCGTGATTACTAACATGTTGAAGGATGAAAACTTCAAATCCCATGAAGGTTCGTAGCTGTTTTACTGAAATCTACACGCTCACTGCTGGCACTTCAAAATGACGTCACTGACGGCGCGACGAACCTTGACGCAGGAAATGCTCGACTAAAACAAGACTGAAAAATACAATCGTAAAACATAATTATCAACAACATGAAAAAACTATAAAACAGTATCTCACAATCACATTTTGTGAACTATAAGTAACTATACCTGTACTGTACCTATAAGAGGCCCTCAGGCCGCGGCCGTATCAGGACTCCCATATGGTCTAGCGGTTAGGATTCCTGGTTTTCACCCAGGCGGCCCGGGTTCGACTCCCGGTATGGGAAGGTACATTTTTCCAAATTTATCATTTTTTTCCAACTCAGATTTAAAGTTAAGGTTCATCATTAATCATGTTAGGGTGAATTCAGGTCAAGTGGGCCATTTAAGTTTGATTGTACTGTGCTCAATGCACTGTTAGAGCATAACAATGGCTCTTCATTAAAGAGACACTATTTCTCTAAACGATGAACTAGTTTTGGTTGATGCAATGTGACACTGGTGGGCGTGGCCACACCTCAAAGGAGGACTACGTCATGATGAAAGGCAGAAAACCCTTGGACATAAGAGTCACACTTGCCTGCTTTGAAGCCTTGAAATGTAACTCTTTTTTTTTTTCTTCAGGAAAATCAGTGTAATATATTTTTGTTCAATAATACTTTTTTATTACTATTTATGATTTTGAGGGAATTTTATGATGCTATGCAATATTTATACAATTTTAATTAGATATTTTCTCCATTAGAATTAATACTTTTTTTAATTTACTATTTTATTTACGATACAGTTAACAGGGAATAAAATGCAAAGAACAAAATGTTTAAAAATGTGTTAGTTTTCTTGTAAGGTGTTTAAATATTGCTGGCCCACTTTGGCTGAATGTGTCAGATAAAGTGGGATTCAGGTAAAGTGGGCTGACCTTTAACCTTCAGTAATTATACTCAAATTCATTAAATAAATTGACATTCACTGGTTATTTTATAGTTGACACGTATAATTAGCTTTTTTAGAAAACAGAAATTAGTCTGCAGTCTGGAAATTCAAGTCAGAGATGGAAGAAAGCAAAGAGAGAATAGAAATGATTACTTCAAAAAAACTAAAATGAAATATTAAAAGCTGGCTAAAAACAAAAACTGTGAAAAATGACAAACACATGAAATGTTTAGAAATCAAATGAAAACAAAAATTAAAAACATTAATAAAAATTATAACAGTATTAAAATTATACTAAAACAACTGTTGATTAGTAGTGGTTAATAGTCCCATTTTGATTGTGAGGAACACTGAATGTGTTTGTGTGCAGTGAGATGAGTAAACACATGTTGATATTTAGTCTAGAACTACAGTAAGATCATGTTCACACACAACGCTCTGCACTTACTCCTGATTTCTGTCACCATGGCAACACCAGAGCTGTCACTCAACACATGGAAACAAAGTAACTGCTGGTAAATACTAGTTACTTGAAAAAGGAAATCTGATTACATAAGATGCGTTACTTTTAATGACTATATGAGTAAAGCAGAGTCTAATGTTTTGGATTCCCAGAACAGACATAAAAATATCAGCAGCACACAATCATAAAAAACTTTATTTGGATTTGAAATACAGACACACCTATTAAAATATCAGTCATACAGAAAACTGTGGTGCATTTACAGAAACAATGTGCAAACATGAAGAACGCTCTTTTAAATATATTTTACACAATGAATTAAGGAAACAAGATGAGAAGGTAACTTTTAAATAAATCAATACAGTGCTACATCTACAGTGCCTCTGAAAATCCTCCTGATTCCAGACAGAACGAAGAAATAATCAACCATAAAATAAACATTAACAGTGAAAGTGCAACGTCAAGAACAATTATAATCAAAACTTCATTTAAGTCAAATACGTTTACAAATGCTGCAATAATTGGTCCGTATAAGGTAGTGTATAAGGTAAAAAGCACTATTAACCATATAAACATATGCACATTAAACTCTTACGTACCTGTAAATAGTTAAAAACCTGTTGAATTTTGGTTCAAACTTTTGAAATCATAAAACTTGAATCATACACTTCAAAATAAAGGTGCTTCACGATGCATTAGAATAACTTTTTTTTTGTCTAAATGGTTCCATAAAGAATCTGAATCTGTTTCACAAAAGCTTCTTTGTAGCGAAAGAAGGTTCTTCAGATTCTAAAAAGCTCAGAAAGAGATGGTTCTTTGACTGAATGCTTCTTTGTGGACCCCAAAATGGTTCTTTTCTGTGGCATCGCTGTGAAGAACCTTTAAAGCACCTTTATTTTTAATAAGAGTGTATTCCAACTTCAAACAATCGTACAAACCGTTTCAAGTGGTTTAGTTTAAGCGCGATTGCTTCAGCGCAGGGACGAGGGGCCCCTGATTTAGCAGCATGTGCGATCACTCAGATCCTCGGTGCGTTTGCATACAGAGCTGCGTTTGCTCTGGAAGCCTCCTCAAGAGCACTTGGTGAGAAAGCGAGCGGCCCGGGCCAGCGGGACGCTCCGGACCCGTCTCTGAGCGTCAGTAACAGCCGTCGCGCCAGCTCCCATCCCTCAGAGCGCTCAGCGTCGCCAGGCTCTTCGGCGGCGGCAGCAAACTACAGCAATCACGACAACCAATAACTCCTCACAATAAAGCATTATACAGCAACAAACAGTGCTGGGGAAGTTACTTTTAAAAGTAATGTGTTACAATGTTGCGTTACTCCATAAAAAAGCAACTAATTACGTTACTTAGTTACTTTTTGTGGAACGTAATGCGTTACGTTACTTTTGAGTTACTTTTTTAATCTGGGCAGGGTAAACTAATATCACGTAATTTACGTCTCTGTGATGATTGGTTGATATCAGAAATCATTCTAATATGCTGATTTATTATCTGAAATGTTGGAAATGTTGGAAACAGGTTCCAAAATAGCAGCAAAAACTGATACTTTTTTCAGGATTTATTGATGAATAAAAAGTTAAAAAGAACAGCATTTATCCAAAATAGAAATCTTTTCTAACAATATAAGTCTTTGCTATCACTTTGTATCAGTTCAACACATCCTTCCTGAATAAAAGTATTAATTTCTTTAAAAAAAAGAAAGAAAGAAAAAAATTTACTGACACCATATACACGGTAGTGTATATTGTTACAAAAGATTTCTATTTTTAATAAATGTTAATGAAATGAAAAGTTATTCATCAAAGAATCCTGAAAAAAGTATCACCGGTTCCAAAAAAATATTAAGCAGCACAACTGTTTCCAACATTAATAATAAATCAGCATATTATACTGATTTCTGAAGATCATGTGACACTGAAGACTGGAGTAATGATGCTGAAAATACAGCTGCGCATCACAGAAATACATTACAGTTTAACAGATATTCACTTAGAAAACAGCTGTTTTAAATTGCAATAATATTTCACAATATTACTGTTTTTTCTATATTTTTAATCAAATATATGCAGCCAGAAGAATAATCACTTTAATAAACACTAAAAATGGTACTGATCTCAAACCTGTGAACGGCAGTGTAATATGGTTGTAATCAGTTGTTGAGCTTCATCCTAAAATGATGCTTTACTCGCTCGATCCGCTGCTTTTCGGTCAGCAGATCTAAACTCTTCAGGATCTCACCCTGAATTTTTCATGACCTTCTTATTTCAGGTTTTAATCCGAATGAGTCTGAATATGAAAGCAGTTTCGAGGATTTGAAGCGTTTACCTGCGCAGCGGAGCGGTGAGTTTGGCTCGAGGGCCGGAGCCGGTGCTGATGAAGGACGAGGGCCGAGGCAGACCGCTGCGTGATGCCGCCGCCGCTTTAGGGACACCGCTGACCGACAGACTCTGTAAACTGACCGAGGAGCTCATGAGAGACGAGCCCTTGACGGTGGGACTGACATACGCTGTGGCTTTGAGCGGCTGATGGGACGAGAAGCTCCCCACGCTCTGAACACGGCTCTGCAGCTGCGCCGGAGCAGGAACTACTCACAGAAACACAAAACACAAGGGCTGTGTCCAATCACCTCCTGTACCCTCAGTCACTATTCCCTACATCAGGCCACTAGTACAGTTCACTTGAAGGAGGGAATAAAAACGAGTGAGTGAGTGAATGCAGACACTAGCTATGTCTCCATCCATCTATTTTTATGCACATTTTGAGATATCGTATAAAAAACGCTGGATGGAAACGCCAAGATGTGCATGGGTTAAAGACGTTAAGATATCTGCATCAAAAGAAATTTACAAAAGTTTATAGAAAGCACATTAAATGTAAGTAAAGTGACAACTTTTAAGGCTTCAAATACGTTTTTGGAGAAAATGTTACAATTTGGTTGAAATAATGTTACATTGTCATTCAGTGTAACGCAATATTTATGTAAAAATTCAAACAACATGCTTATTCTGACGTGTACATATTAAAATGTATAAAAGAATAAGTGAGCATATTAAATTTTATTGTGTTTTAAATGAGTAAAAACTTCTTACTGACAAATGGGCAAAAGCTAGGATAGTGGCAACTTTTGAAAATGTAAAATTACAACTAATTAGTATTTGGGGTGAAAGTAATTAGTCTTTTAATATGTCATAAATTATAAGATTTAAGAATTATAAGAATAAGATTAAAGGATTTATCTTGAACTCTGTCATGGAAATTAATATGGCGAGATTATTATATTATTATATAATAATATTATTAAGGCGAGACTGCAGGTGAAAAAAGTAAAAAATTAACTAATAGATATCACCATACATAACACAGATCATTGATTTCATTAAGAATTACAAACATTTTTTCTACTAAATGTTTTCTGAAGTGCTATGTTGAAATATGCAAATGAGCTGTTATCTAATTAAATATGCGCTAATTTGCATACACGTCTAGAACAACTATCTCAACATTGGATGAAGCCAGGTTCAAAATTCTTGTTTCATTTTATTGAAATATTAGACTCAAATGTTTTACAGAGGGGATTTTGGATATCTCTTTTTATCATAAAAAAATCACGCCAGAAAACAAAATAATTTTTGCATTTGTTTTTAGAAACAAAATGTTGTATAGAACCAGGCAAATTATATATGAACAAACCCCTCTGTAAAAACCTTCACACTGCAAAAAATGATTCTCTTACTTAGTATTTTTGTCTTGTTTTCTAATATAAGTATCTAAACATTCTTGAATCAAGATGCATTTACTTGCCAATAAAATGACTTAAAATGTCTGTCCCTTCAAACAGTGCCATATTTGAGGGTATATTGATCAGATTGATGCGCTGGAGACGTACTGCAGCTCTGGAGACGCGTCAGAGCACCGGACGAGTCGAAGCTCTGGCTGTTCCTCATGGACCCTGACGACAGCGCTGGACTCAGAGCCGCACACACCAGCAGGTTCGGCATACTCCTCCTCAGCTTATCTGCAGATCACACACATGAGAGACAAACATGAGCCGCTCACATTAATAAAACATGTTCACACTGGATTAAAACCCAATTACATCTGATGTGCTTTAAGAGGATTGAGACACGGTTGTGTGTGTGTGTGTGAGAGAGTGTGTGTGTGTGTGTGAGAGAGTGTGTGTGTGTGTGTGAGAGAGTGTGTGTGTGTGTGTGAGAGAGTGTGTGTGTGTGTGTGAGAGAGTGTGTGTGTGTGTGTGAGAGAGTGTGTGTGTGTGTGTGAGAGAGTGTGTGTGTGTGTGTGAGAGAGTGTGTGTGTGTGTGTGAGAGAGTGTGTGTGTGTGTGTGAGAGAGTGTGTGTGTGTGTGTGAGAGAGTGTGTGTGTGTGTGTGAGAGAGTGTGTGTGTGTGTGTGAGAGAGTGTGTGTGTGTGTGTGAGAGAGTGTGTGTGTGTGTGTGAGAGAGTGTGTGTGTGTGTGTGAGAGAGTGTGTGTGTGTGTGTGAGAGAGTGTGTGTGTGTGTGTGAGAGAGTGTGTGTGTGTGTGTGAGAGAGTGTGTGTGTGTGTGTGAGAGAGTGTGTGTGTGTGTGTGAGAGAGTGTGTGTGTGTGTGTGAGAGAGTGTGTGTGTGTGTGTGAGAGAGTGTGTGTGTGTGTGTGAGAGAGTGTGTGTGTGTGTGTGAGAGAGTGTGTGTGTGTGTGTGAGAGAGTGTGTGTGTGTGTGTGAGAGAGTGTGTGTGTGTGTGTGAGAGAGTGTGTGTGTGTGTGTGTGTGTGTGTGTGTGAGAGTGTGTGTGTGTGTGTGTGTGTGTGGGTGTGTGTGTGAGAGAGTGTGTGTGTTTGCGCGTTTTTGTGACATATGAGGACACAAATTTGTATAATGACAAAGGTATGACATAGGTATTACAAGGAGAAGGTGACTTTTCAGGACATTACCCCATGTCCCCACTTTTCAAAACGCTTATAAATCATTTTTTTCTCAGTTTTTTTGAGAAAGTAAAAATGCACAAAGTTTCCTGTAATGGGTAGGTTTAGGGGTAGGGTTGGTGTAGGGCAATAGCACAAACAGTTTGTACAGTATAAAAACCATTACGCCTACGGAATGTCCCCATAAAACATGGAAACACAACATGTGTGTGTGTGTGTGTGTGTGTGTGTGTGTGTGTGTGTGT